GGGACATGGCTTAGCAGGCATGGTGGTGATGGGCTGACAGTTGGACTTCATGATCTTAGAGGTCTTTTCCAACCTTAATGATTCTATGACTCTATGAAGGGACCCCATCTATTATGATTAATTGTTTGTAAGAATGAATTATTTGCAATAATAAACAGAAAATGTAGTCAACCTGTTTACTTTTCTGTAAAAACATATTTACATCATTTTGAACCTCTATCTAATATTTGGTTTTATGAAAGTTGTGGGAGTGTGTGATGGTGCTCACTTTTCATTCTTCCCCTGTGGCCTCAAACTTCTATGTCTTAATCCTCCCCTTTCTCCATGGAGACACTTCAGTGTTTAACTCTCCACCACCAAAGCAATCTGCAACCTGGATGAACAGCCTGCAGATTGCTTGACAAGAACTGACTCTCCATATCATCCCACAGCAAAACTTCTATGCAACTGTACATGGCACTTTCAGGAAATTCTGGTGTGCAACAGAGACAGGCCACAGCTGCTACCTAACCAAATCATCAAAAAAAGATATTCCATGAATGACCTGAAGCCATCTCCAGGAAGCAGGAGCCCTTGTCCCCTGAGGATGTGCAGCTCCAGTCTTTTGCACGACATCCTGGGTGCTACCAGCAGCAAAGCACAGGCTTTCAGCTGCCTCGGATATCCTCTGTGGGCTTTGCTACTTCTTCAGCACAGAACTGGAACTTCAGAGCCAACTTCTCCTCTGTCACTTGAGCCTGGGAAAAGATTGGCTCCAAATCCAGGCAAGCAGCTCAGGATGCATTTGGAAACGCCTAGTATTTTAGTTCAAGTGGATGATTGCTCACAGTGAATGACTAACAAGATGATTTTGCCTCTTTTTTCCTCTTCAGATACTGACATCAGATTATAATTTTCTCAGATATCATTCCTCAGAATTACTCACAAGATAATTATAACTGGAAGCATTAACCTCTTGGGGATCTTGGGTATTTTAGTTTCTCAGATCTTTCTGTCATTGCGATTTCTAGATTGTCAAGTGATGAGCAGGACATAAAAGATTACAGAGGCAGCAACAATTAGAAATAATTTTGTCCACTAAATATTGGTCTGCAAGTGTGCAGTTCATTGGCAGTAACACCGAAAATTCAGGCTGCCTAGGTACCAAGAGCTTCCTTTTTTTTTTTTTCTGGCCTCTGTGATGAACAGAACTCAAAACTGTACTTTTGATGTTAAGGCTTATTACAATTCCAAAATACTGTCCACGAAAACTTTTTAATAATTAACTTTCATTTTGATAGAGGCCACGACAGCTGGTAAATTTTCTCATGGAAGTATTATGGGAAAGGCAATTTAAAAGCACTTGGAACCAGACGAAGGGAATGTTAAGTTTCTCTTGGTTAAAGTACAAACAGATAAGCCATATTTGCTACGACGTAATGTTAGATACCTTTCTGCGCAGTTTTGTATGACACTAAACCTTTACTTAAAAACCTGAACTTCTGGAGCAGGAGTAAGGACTTCTTTCGCAGTGATATATAGGCTTCTCTTTATCTATCTGACATGGAGACCTGAACCCCTGCCAGCTTTAAATTGCATTTCTAAACATTGGTTTAACAGTTAGAGACTTCATGTCATAACAAAAGGTCTTGAAAACTTTCCAGACTAGCTCCACGGTATGGTAAATGTTGTGATTAAAGGATGAAAGGTTGGGTTTAGAGTCTTTTTTCCCCCCCCCTTTCTCTCATTTCAGCGTTGAGAACAGACGTCGCTGCACTTCAGCTGAAGCAGTTGCAGAGGCTGCCGGAAAATGAAGGAGCTGGAGGGTCTGGGGTAACGTCACCCACCGGGCTGAGCGTGAGGAGCAATACAAAGCTTTGGCTTTGGTGGTACCACCTGGATGCTCTCGCTCTCCTCTGGAGCTCCTCCATCCGCTGGAGCCACAGTGCTTCAAACAGGCAACCTGGGCGTGAGGATGCACCTTTCACCCCACGCACGGCGTTAGCTGTTGGGTTTTACTTCACAAACAGTCAGAGGATACAAGACTTTTTCCCCCAGGAAT